CTTCCCCCCCCCCGCCCCCCCCCCCATTACCGCGCTCCCAAATTTCACCCTCGATGCGCGCCCTATCATTATTTATAATCTCTGTGGACACCACAGCCATGACGTACTTTATAAATCAGTGAACAAAAGAATTCAGAAACATTTGATGTAGTTGCAATTTCGCCATTTTCACAACATCAGTTAACTGTCATAAACAAGAATTTAGATACAGTATTGGTTCAAACTCCAACTTGTTTTAGCATTTTAATCCTTTGCCCCCCAATAGACGCGTTCCCTTTCTTTGACTGGGTTTAAGAAGATTACGATGCCCCCTCTAGAGTTATTTATAATCTCTATATGGTGGTGCCGCCATATTTTCTGTAAAAATCGATCCACACCATTTTATATGTACATGTATAAAGTTCCACGTGAAAGCATTTAAAGCAACGTACTACACTTTGTTTTTTATTTATTTTGTCTTTATAAACAAATGTTTGCCAACTCTACTAGCAGAATCATGACAAAATACAGTTTCGCAAAATGCAGTTTCGCAAAATACAGTTTCGCAAAATACAGTTTCGCAAAATACAGTTTCGCAAAATACAGTTTCGCAAAATACAGTTTCGCAAAATACAGTTTCGCAAAGTTTCGTTTCGCAAAATACAGTATAAGCCGATAATTTTGGATTAAATTTGCTATTATGTAGTAAGAATATTATATTCGTATAGGACATGTTGAAATGTGACCCCAAAATTTTCATATTAACGGATTTTATTAATTACCGAAATGATTTTGGGATTAAATTTGCTATTATGTAGTAAGAATACTGTACTTACAAATGATCCAATTAACATAAAGGGGTATCAATTGTTTCGAAGAGATCGTGCAAATAGACTCCACGGGGGAGTTTGTCTGTACGTAAAAAACAGTATTGAAAGTAAGATCTTAACTGATCTTTACAACGACGTTTTATGGTGCCTTTTGCGACCAAAACGCCTGCCTCGAGGATTCTCACATATCATAGCTGCAGTTGTCTATCATCCTCCTGATGCCAACAATATCTCAATGAAAGAATATCTTAAAAACTCATTAGAATTTATCGAATCAAATTACCCGAACAGCGCTATAATCCTAGGTGGTGATTTTAACAAACTTTGTTTTAAATCCCCAGCAAAGCTCTTCCATCTAAAACCTATTATAAACTTCCCTACTAGAGGCAATAACATCCTTGACCAGATTTTTACAAATTTACTGCCTCATACCCAGGCGCTTACATGAAGTATTCCGGTAGGCATCCGACGCGCGAAGGGGCTGTTGGGAAGGGTGCGTGCTGGGGAGCAGTTCAAGTGCACTCTTCCCATCAGCCCCTTCGCCATCTCTCCCCACTACAATACTTCATGTAAACACGTCATATGGGCATCACTGCTTTCGCCATCTCTCCCCACTACAATACTTCATGTAAACACGTCATATGGGCATCACTGCTTTTTTACAAAGAGACGCCTGGGTACGAGGCAGACAAATTTACAAGATTTTTACATGGCTCCAAATAGAAGATGTCCATTTGGATTATCCGACCATCTCACAATCACTATTTTCCCAGCTATACGACAAAAATCAGTGTCCGAAAAGAAAATAATAAAAGTGCGCGATAAAAGAAGAAGTAATATCTCCAGTCTTGGCCGGTTTTTCCAGAACGTTCCATTTGAAGATATTTTATCATCAGTTCAATCTCCTTGTGAAAAACTCTCAATTTTTACCGAAATAGTAAACTACGGACTGAACACCATTATGCCAGAAAGATCTATCAAAGTGCATGCTACTGACCGTCCGTGGATGACAAATAATTTGAAACGACTTATCAATAAAAGACAGAAGGCATTTGCAACGGGTAACAAACCTTTGTTCTCTCTCCTACGAAATAAAGTCAATCGTGAAAGAAAACGATGCCGTGAAATATATTATAAAACTAAAGTGCAGGATCTCAAAAATACTAAACCTAGTCAATGGTGGCGCGAAATAAAACAACTCTGTGGCTGCAAAACAACAAACCGTTAAGATCTACGTTCTATCCTAAGGATAAACAACGATTGTTCCGACCAAGTACTAG